TTCAACAACAACAGCCCAGGCAGCAACCACCACGACCACAGCAACAGCAACGCGGCAGACAGCAGGCCCGCGTCTTTGCAGTTGACCAGAGGGAGGCCGACCAGCATCCAGGTACCATGTTCGGGATGATTATTCTTAATGATGTGCCTGTCTATGCCTTATTTGATACCGGAGCAACCCACTCTTTTATATCACGTCGATGTCTCGAAGCTATTGGGGTTCGTTCCACTACCGCTGTCGATCCTATCGAGGTGAGTTTAGCCTCGGGAAGAAAGATAGTGACGGACGCTAGAGCCACCGATCTCAGCCTTTCCATCGGCGGCCGTATTCTGATTACTGATACTTATGTTATCGAGATGAGGGATTTTGACCTCATACTCGGTATGGATTGGCTAACTCGATTTCACGCAGATATTCAATGTTACGACCTGGAGATTACTCTTTATCTTCCGGGAGATGATCAGATTACTTATTACGGCTCCAGGACTCGTCTCTGCCACATATTATTTCTATGGCGAAAGCCAGAAAGATTCTTCGACGGGGTGATTTCCAGGGTTATATTGTGAGCCTCGTTGGAGATGAGTCAAAGGCACGTTCACCTCATGATATTCCTATCGTTCGTGAGTTCATGGACGTGTTTCCAGACCAGCTTCCCGGAGGTCCACCTAGCCGACAGGTGGAATTTTCTATTGATCTTATCCCTGGAGTCGGACCCGTTTCAAAGGCACCATAAAGAATGGCGCCTAAAGAATTGCAGGAATTGAAGACCCAAATTCAAGAGTTGCTGAATCTCGGTTTTATACGACCGAGTGTTTCTCCTTGGGGAGCACCAGTCCTTTTTGTCAAAAAGAAGGACGAATCTATGCGTATGTGTATCAACTACCGGGATCTTAACCGGTTGACGATCAAGAATAAATATCCACTTCCCAGGATCGATGATTTATTTGATCAGTTGAGGGGTGCCTGCGTGTTTTCCAAGATCGATTTGTGTTCAGGCTACCACCAGCTGAAAATCAAGAAGTCAGACATACCCAAGACAGCTTTCCGTACGAGATACGGTCACTTCGAGTTTGTGGTTATGCCGTTTGGCCTCAGTAATGCCCCGGCAGTATTCATGGACTTGATGAACCGTGTATTTCATCCTTTTCTCGACCAGTTCGTTATTGTCTTCATCGATGATATTATTATTTATTCCAAGAGCTAGAAGGAGCACGAGGAGCACCTGAGGGCCGTTCTTTCGACCCTTAGACGTGAGAAGTTATATGCAAAATTCTCCAAGTGCGAGTTTTGGCTTCAACGAGTGGCTTTTCTTGGCCACATTATTACTTCAGCAGGTATTGAAGTTGATCCTTCCAAAATTGCTGCAGTCCAGAATTGGTCAGCACCGAAGAATCCGTCCGAGGTTCGTAGTTTCCTCGGCCTTGCAGGTTATTATCGCAGATTTATCGAAGGGTTCTCGAAGATTGCACTCCCTTTGTCCCAGCTGACGAGGAAGTCTATAAAATTCGAATGGATAGACCGTTGTGAGTCGAGTTTTCAGGAGCTGAAAAGGAGGCTTACGACGGCACCGGTGTTGACTATTCCAGATCTTTCTCGGAGCTTCACCATCTATAGTGATGCTTCGAGGCAAGGGTTGGGATGTGTACTTATGCAAGATGGCCAGGTCGTTGCTTATGCGTCACGCCATCTTAAAACACATGAACAGAACTATCCGACGCACGACTTGGAGTTAGCTGCAGTTGTTCATGCCCTCAAGATTTGGCGACACTATCTATACGGCGGTCAATGCGAAATCTTTACTGATCATAAGAGCTTGCAGTATATCTTTACCCAGAAGGAGCTCAATATGAGGCAGCGCCGTTGGTTAGAGTTCGTCAAGGATTACGATTGTACGATCTAGTATCATCCGAGAAAGGCGAATGTTGTTGCTGATGCCCTAAGCCGCAAGGTGAAGGGTGACTTGACATACGTTGTTACTCAACAGAGTCAGTTGATTCATGAGTTCGCCCGGATGCAGATCCAGCTGGTTGATGCACTTCCTACAGCCAGTTTGGGGAGTATGAATTCCATGCAGGTTCAGCCGACGCTGAGGGAGAGAATCCGGCAAGAGCAGGCTTCAGATGAGTTTATTCGTACGATTGATGCCAAGGTTCGTGCCGGAGGCGTCGAGGGTTTTCACCAAGGCACTGATGGGGCCTTGGAGTTTCGTGGCAGGATTGTGGTGCCTAAAGTCGAAGCATTGAGAAAGAAGATTCTATCTGAGGCTCATACTGCACCCTATCTAGCCCATCCAGGAAGCACAAAGATGTACCATGACCTGAAAGGGTCGTTTTGGTGGAGAGGATTGAAGAAAGACGTTGCCGACTTTGTAAGAAGATGTTTAACCTGTCAGCAAGTCAAGGCCGAGCATAAGAGTCCCATAGGCCTTCTACGACCACTGCCGATTCCGAGGTGGAAGTGGGAGATGGTTGCGATGGATTTTGTTACGGGGTTACCGAGGTCATCTGAACATCACGACGCTATCTGGGTCGTGGTCGACAGATTGACTAAGGTTGCTCACTTCTTGCCAGTATCGATGAGTATGTCTTTGGATCGGTTGGCTGAGATTTATATCCGTGGGATCGTTCGACTCCATGGAGTACCTGTTACTGTTGTGTAGACAGAGACCCCAGATTCACTAGTACATTCTGGAAGAGTTTACACGAGGCAATGGGTACGAAGCTAGCCTTATGTTCAGCCTACCATCCCGAGACTGACGGACAGACGGAGCGGACTATACAGACGTTAGAGGATATGTTGCGTGCTTTGACTGTTGACAGGGGTGCTAAATGGGAGTCTTTATTGCCGTACGTCGAGTTTGCGTACAACAACAGTTATCACTCTTCTATTCAGATGGCTCCTTATGAGGCACTATACAGTCGTAAATGTCGTTCCCCTCTTTATTGGGACGACGTCGGAGAACGTCGAGTACTCGGTCCGAAGCTGATCGAGGAGACAGTCGAGCAAGTCGAGTTGATCCGGCAGAGACTCAGAATAGCTCAGAGCAGAATGAAATCAACCGCCGATCATCATCGACGAGATATTCAGTTCGAGGTTGGCGAGCACGCTTTTCTCAGAGTTAGTCCATTTCGTAGAGTCATTCGATTCGGGAAGAGAGGGAAGTTACACCCTCGGTTTATTGGCCCGTTTGAAGTACTCAAGCGAGTGGGGGATGTTGCGTATCGTTTAGCCTTACCTCCCGAGTTATCCAGTGTGCACAATTTCTTTCATGTGTCTATGTTACGCAAGTACGTGTGCGACCCCGATCATGATATTCCTCATACTGATATTGAGATTCATCCAGATTTATCTTACGAGGAGCGACCGGTGGCTGTGTTGGACCGACAGGTTTGACGGCTCCAGAAGCGTGATGTTCCCCTCGTCCGTATTTAGTGGGATCGCCACGGAGCCACTTGGGAGCAGGAGGCTGACATTCGCGCTCGTTTTCCCGACTTTCAGTTTTGATATGTAAATTTTTCATGTATATATGTTTTGTTTTATATTTCCAAGGACGGAAATATTTTAAGGAGGGTAGATATTAATAACCCAACTTCTTGTTAATAATAATGATGCATTATCTTTTATTGATTCCGTTCACTTTCAGCAAATAAGTTCGACGTTAAGTCGAAAAGTTTATCCGGTTAATTATTAACCGAGTCAAATTCGATAATTAATTTCCGAACCGTTTATTTTATAAACGGATGTTATTAATCGGGATCAATTATTAATAGTTTAGCATGTTCAGAATTAAGTTCGAGGTTGAAACTAAGTTAAGTTACGGAAGAACGCAAGGTATGCGAAGTATACACAAGTACACGCACTCATGCACGCATGCCGTGCGCACAGCCATGCACGCGGACGCGCATCGCGCGTATCACCGTGCTGATGACGGATCGATCTTTTGTCTATACTGGGTTTCGAATAAACGACGCACTGCGGCCTTCGTTTATCCCCGATAGGTATCTAGCAGACGCACTCAGGGCCTTCTTCTAGATACCGGGACTTCAAGACGCACTATTGGCCTTCTCTCCGACACTGTATGTAAAGACGCACTAATGGCCTTCTTTATCACACGTTAAGAACATAAAGTTCCCCCTCAAGATTGGCTCACCAATTCAATACTTCATTCAACTTTTTTAAAATATGATGAGGTACATGGGGTATTTATAGTTGCAAAATAAATCTAAGCCTAAATCTACTAGATCTCCTAAATCTTGCATGAATAGAAATCCTAAGTCTAGAAAGCAATAAAATCCTAAAGCTACCAAAATACTAATGCTTGGCTTGCACACCAAGCAAATCTAGAAGCTCCCTAAAAATAAACCCTACATGCTAAACTCTCGGCCGCCCCACATTCCGCACGCGTCCCACGCGTATGCGCGCTGCCCGTCCGTGTCCTAGTCTTTGGCGCGCGAGGCATCGCGCGCCCCGCGTGTCCCGTACGCGTGCACCCCAGCGCGATCCTCGTCCATGCCGCCATTGCCCAGCGCGTGCATCTCCTCAAGTCGCCCAGTCCTGCCGCGCATAGGATACCTCCCGCGTCATCCCACTCGCGCACCGTCGCGCACGCCCTGCCCTTGCTGATTTTCTTGCGCGCGTTGTGTCGCGCGCCCGCGTGCTCACATGCGCGCCCTTGGCGCCTGATCCTTTCTCCGCATGACCCCCGCACGTCCCAGCTACCGTCCCAGCCCAGACCGCCTACGGAGTTCCCGCGTACACCCGCGCACCCGTCCATCTTGCGTTCGCGTCCTCCCCGCCAAACCCGCGTGCGCGGTCTATTCGCCCACTCGTGTGCATCAAGTGCCGATGCACACCTTTTGCCTTTTCGCCCCTTGCTAGACTCGCCGGTCCCCAACTCCACTTTCGTATCATTCCCCTCCTCTTCAAGACTTTCCTTGTCCCCAAGGATTAGGAAATTCGGCTTCCCCTCTCGGCCATCCCCGCTATCCTCATCAAGTGACCCGCCTGGATCCTCAGTCCTCAACTTGACCCTCTCGCTTGACCTCCCGAACTCCATAGTTCCTTTCCAATAATCGGTTGTGATTGGACCAAGAGTCTCCAACCACTGGCATCCAAGCACTACATCAGCTGCCTTCAATGGCAATGCATAGAGATCCACTCTCATCCTTTGACCTTGAGCTTTCAACTTTACACCCTTGAATAAAATATCTCCTCGTAGTGTTTCCCCGTTTGCAACCTTTACTCCAAAAGGTTTTACCTTGGTGAATGGAATCTCGATTTCTTTAGACAACTCCTCATCAATGAAGTTTAGCGTAGATCCGCTATCGACCAGCACTTCCACCAATTTTCCTCCTACTTCAGCCGTGAATGTGATCATCTTCGGACCACGTTTCTTGCTTTTAACCATATGTAATAGGGACTCCTCTCTCGGTTCTTCTTCTTCCTCAAATTCCAACAAAAAGACCTCCTTACCCTTGCACCTGTGGCCTGGCGTAAATTTTTCATTGCACGAATAGCAAAGGCCTTTTTCTCGCCGTCGTTGCATCTCTTTGTTGGTAAGCCGTCGTATGTTGCTCGTCGTTCGAACAATCTTGCCCATCGGTTTGCTCTCCGTTCGCCCTGCCAGTTCTTCGGTTGCGGCGTTCGTGCGCTTGGTCTCCGTGCGTGTGTCGTTCGGCTTGGCCTTGCGCACCGCCACAAGATGTTCCTCGTGCAATCTAGCCGACTCAACGGCTGCTCGCATCGAGCCTGGCCTGTCCAACCTCACTTCGGCTGCCAGTTCAGCTTTAAGTCCTCCAACAAACGTTCCCACTAACGCAGCCTCGGGCCAGTCTCGTACCCTACTAGCGATTCGCTCGAACTTTTTTTGATAATCCCTCAGACTACCCACTTGTTTGATCCTTGACAAAGCCTCGTTGTAATCGTGGTAGTCACTCGAGCCAAACCTCATGATAAGCTCTTTTTCAAAATCTCTCCATCGCATGTACTCGCCATGGTTTTTGTGCATCACCCATTGCCACCAAACGTTAGCTTCCCCATCAAGGTGATAGGCAGCAATTTGTACTCGTTCGTACCTTGGCACATCATTGATCTCAAAGAATTGCAAAGCTCGACTCAACCATGCGTCCGGATCTGTCCCCGTGAACGTGGGCATCACAATTTTCGGTCGTGTACCTGCCCGTTCGTCCAATTGCTCATCGCGCTCGTGAAGTCGGTTATCGCGCCCCTCGCGCCGTCGCCGATCCTCGTCGTAGCGCTCTCGGTCATCGCGTCGTGCTCGGCGTTCATCGCGTGTGGCCCGCGATGCGTATGATGCGTACGACTGCTGGTCGTCATCTTCTTCGCGCCTACGGTCGTGATGTGCGCGTCCCTCGTGTCGTCGTTGGCCGTCGCGATGGTGATCTGCGTGTGATGCGCGCGAGCCCCGTGATCGGTGATCATCCTCGCGCTCGGTCCCTGTGCTGACTGCCGTGGACCGCGACCCATGTCGTCTCCTTGGCCGCGTGTTCATGCGTGTTAGTTGCCCGGCCAAGTCCTGGACCATTAGTTCGATCCTTCCCAAGTTCTCGTTGGTAGCATGTTGACCATCGCTGATGATCTTCATGTTATCCTCCAAGGCTTGGATTCTCTCACGGTTTGACATCATAAATATTTTTTTTTTTTTAAGACTTCTAAAAAAAATTGAAAATAATAGGGAAAAATTCGAAAAATTCGAACCCCCAACAAGACTCAAAAAATTCGAAACAAAAAAGAAATTTGGCCCCTCAACAAAGGTAATAACCGAAAAAAATAACAAAGGACTAACAAGATGACACTTTTTTTTTGACTCAAATTCGAAAATAAAAAGGGAAAATTCGAACAAAAATTCGAATCCCAACAAAAAATAAGAGAAATTCGGCCCCTCAGCAAAAGGCAAACCGAAAAAAATAAAAAGATAAGATAG